AATCGTTGGGTTTGATCTGCAGTGGATTGTGGGATTAAACCTCAGAGCTCCTCACTGCTGGATAATAACATGGATCTATTGAAATAAGAAACATCCTGAGCTTCTTCTTCTAAACGAGCTCATGGTTCTGGTTCTGGTCTGGATAACAGAGTTAATGTAAAGATGAGCTTGTGTTGAGTTGTTTTATTTATGAATGAAAAGAAGGAAATATGTATTATTTCTTTTATTTTACAGTTAAATTATTATTTATGTAATTAGTTTTTTTTGTAATCTTAAATGTTCTTATATGAACTGTCGACCTCTTACACTTTAATAATAATATAAAAAAAAGACCTTGTGGAATTTGGCAGATTTGTTTTTGCAGTTTTCAGTTGTAGGGGGTTATTTTTTCTTGAACATATATCGTATATCGAGATATAGCAAAATATATCGACATATATTTTTTGATCCATATCGCCCAGCCCTAGAACAAACCATTCCGCACTGGAGCTCCTGTAACACTTTATTTGGTAATTGTGTTTTTATACGTGTTTTGTGTGTGAATGAAATGTGAAATGTGAAATGTGGGGCCTGCCTCTCAAATCCGCAATAATAATAATAATAATAATACATTTTATTTATATTGCACTTTACATAAAATAATCTCAAAGTGCTACAGGTAAAAACAATGAGTAAAAAGGTGCATCAGAAACAGTGGATCAAGCTAAAACCAGTGCAGGAATTTATAAGATAAAACAAGAATAAAATACAATTAACAAAAGGCTTTAGTAAAAAGGTATGTTTTAAGATTTTGTTTAGAAACAGAAATAGATTGTGGGGCTCTCAGGTGGTCGGGGAGAGGATTCCAAAGCCTTGGAGCAGCAGAGGAGAAGGCCCGATCTCCCATGGTGCAAAGTTTGGTTCTGGGGGTTTGGAGAGTGTTGGTGGCTGCAGAGCAAATTTACCTACGTGTACGAATAAATCGACCTAACCCTAACCCTGCCATGATGATATCGTATCGTGACACTTGGATATCGTTACACCCCTACATAATGCAGAAAAAAAAAAATCTGCTGGATCCGCATTCTAGTGTAGATGCATCTCCCTTGTTTTTTCTCTCTCTAACCCTCTTTCTCATGGTCTGGTTTTAACTCCCCTCCTCCCTCTCTCTTCTGCTGCCGTGGTTGTATCTCTCCCTCCGTTCGTGTCTCGGTGGAGTGGTTGTATTTCTCAGGTTGTGTTTGAGATGCGGCTGAGTGCGCGCTGGTGCTTCTCTGTTTGACCTCAGTTGCTCAGACCAGCGCCTCTGAACTCACCTCTGCTCCTCTGCGCTCGCCTCCTACACTCCTCCTCCAGGGCTCCAGCGATGCTCTTTCTCTTCTCGCGCCGTTTTCTCATTTTCACCTCTCTATCTCCTCTCCATCTCCTGTCTCTCCCAGCTCAAGTCGTTTCACCGGGATCTTCTCTCCCTCTCCTTTCCTTTCCTATTTTCTCCTCTTTCTTTCTTTCTTTCTCTCTTCACGGTGGTTAAACACTCCAGTTTTCCTCCATCAACCCAAAACATGCCCCATAAGTCAAATCCTCCAGGCAAAAAAATCCCGACCAAGACTCGGTCAAGATCAGGACGATGGGTCAAATGCAGAGAACAAATTTCCATATTGGGACAGTAAAGTGTATCTCAAATCCATCTTCCTCTCTCCTCCCTCCCCATCTGTCTATCTCTGTCTCTCTCATTTTCCTTCTCTCGCTCATTTTCATTTTATCTCCATTGCTCTCTCTTTCGTTCTCTCGTTTTCTTTCGTTCTCTGTCTCGTTCTCTCTCTCATTTTCGTTCTCTCTCTCATTTTCATTCTCTCTCTCATTTTCATTCTATCTCTCCTCTCTCATTCTCACTCTCTCATTTTCTTTCATTCTCTCTCGTTCTCGCTCTCGTTTTCTCTTTCGTTCGCTCTCGTTCTCTCTCTCACTCATTTTCATTTTATCTCTCGTTCTCTCTCTTGTTTTCTCTTTGTTCTCTCTCATTCTTTCATTCTCTCTCTTGCTCTATCTCTGGTTTTCTCTCTCTCCTTCTCCTTCATTCTCTCTCGTTCTCTCTCTCATTTCAATTCTCTCGTTCTGTCTCTCATTTTCGTTTCTCTCTTTCGTTCTCTTGCTCATTTTCAGTTTATCTCTCCTTCGCTCTCTCGTTTTCACTCTCTCGTTCTCTGTCTCGTTCTCACTCTTGTTCTCTCTCTTCTTCTCTCTCTTTCATTCTCTCTTTCGTTCTCTCTCTCATTCTCTCTCTTGCTCTATCTCTGGTTTTCTCTCTCTCCCCTTCTCCTTCATTTTCTCTTGTTCTTTCACTCGCTTGTTCTCTCTCATTTTCTCTCTCGCTTTCTCTCTCATTCTCTCTCGTTTTCTCTTCTTTTCTCTCTCATTTTCTCTCTCATCACCAGGATCTTCTCTGACTCTCTCTCCTCTCCTCTCCCTTACTATTTTCTCCTCTTTCTTTCTTTCTTTCTCTCTTCACGGTGGTTAAACACTCCAGTTTTCCTCCATCAACCAAAAACAGGCCCAATAAGTCAAATCCTCCAGGCAACCTTCTCTCTCTCTCTCTCCTAATCCTCACCTTCTCTCTCTTTCTGTCTCTCTCTCTCCATCTTTCACTGTCTGTCTCAGTCTCTCTCTTTCCATCCGAGTGGTTTGACCTGTATCCTCTCAAACTCGAGCTCCAGTTCTTGCATCTTGGCCTTTCTCTCTCTCTCGTTCTCTCGCTCATTTTCATTCTATCTCTCCTCCTCTCTCTTTCGTTGTCTCTCTCGTTTTCTCTCTCATTTCAGTTCTCTCACGCTGTCTCTCATTTTCGTTCTCTCTCCTTCTCACTCTCTCGTTCTCTCTCTCGTTTTCTTTCGTTCTCTCTCATTTTCTCTTTTGTTCTCTCTCGTTCTGTCTCTCATTTTCGTTTTCTCTCTCGTTCTCTCGCTCATTTTCATTCTATCTCTCCTCTCTCCTTTTCATTGTCGCTCTCGTTCTCACTCCTTTCTCTTGTTTTCTCTTTCTCTCTCATTTTCTCTTTCGTTCGCTCTCTCGTTCTCTCTCTCATTTCAATTCTCTCGTTCTGTCTCTCATTTTCGTTCTCTCTTTCGTTCTCTTGCTCATTTTCAGTTTATCTCTCCTTCTCTCTCTCGTTTTCACTCTCTCGTTCTCTGTCTCGTTCTCACTCTTGTTCTCTTTCATTCTCTGTCGTTCTCTTGTTTTCTCTTTTCTCATTCTCTCATTTTCGTTCTCTCTCTCGTTCTCTCGCTCATTTTCATTCTATCTCTCCTTCTCTCTCTTTCATTCTCTCTCATTTTCTCTTTCGTTCTCTCTCTCATTCTCTCTCTTGCTCTATCTCTGGTTTTCTCTCTCCCCTTCTCCTTCATTTTCTCTTGTTCTTTCACTCGCTTGTTCTCTCTCATTTTCTCTCTCGCTTTCTCTCTCATTCTCTCACGTTTTCTCTTCTTCTCTCTCTCATTTTCTCTCTCATCACCAGGATCTTCTCTGACTCTCTCTCCTCTCCTCTCCCTTACTATTTTCTCCTCTTTCTTTCTTTCTTTCTTTCTCTCTTCACGGTGGTTAAACACTCCAGTTTTCCTCCATCAACCAAAAACAGGCCCAATAAGTCAAATCCTCCAGGCAACCTTCTCTCTCTCTCTCTTCCTAATCCTCACCTTCTCTCTCTTTCTGTCTCTCTCTCTCCATCTTTCACTGTCTGTCTCAGTCTCTCTCTTTCCATCCGAGTGGTTTGACCTGTATCCTCTCAAACTCGAGCTCCAGTTCTTGCATCTTGGCCTTTCTCTCTCTCGTTCTCTCGCTCATTTTCATTCTATCTCTCCTTCTCTCTCTTTCGTTGTCTCTCTCGTTTTCTCTCTCATTTCAGTTCTCTCACGCTGTCTCTCATTTTCGTTCTCTCTCTCCTTCTCACTCTCTCGTTCTCTCTCTCGTTTTCTTTCGTTCTCTCTCATTTTCTCTTTTGTTCTCTCTCGTTCTGTCTCTCATTTTCGTTTTCTCTCTCGTTCTCTCGCTCATTTTCATTCTATCTCTCCTCTCTCCTTTTCATTGTCGCTCTCGTTCTCACTCCTTTCTCTTGTTTTCTCTTTCGTTCTCTCATTTTCTCTTTCGTTCGCTCTCTCGTTCTCTCTCTCATTTCAATTCTCTCGTTCTGTCTCTCATTTTCGTTCTCTCTCTCGTTCTCTTGCTCATTTTCAGTTTATCTCTCCTTCTCTCTCTCGTTTTCACTCTCTCGTTCTGTCTCGTTCTCACTCTTGTTCTCTCTCTTCATGTTCTCTTTCATTCTCTGTCGTTCTCTTGTTTTCTCTTTCTCATTCTCTCATTTTCGTTCTCTCTCTCGTTCTCTCGCTCATTTTCATTCTATCTCTCCTTCTCTCTCTTTCATTCTCTCTCATTTTCTCTTTCGTTCGCTCTCTCATTCTCTCTCTTGCTCTATCTCTGGTTTTCTCTCTCCCCTTCTCCTTCATTTTCTCTTGTTCTTTCACTCGCTTGTTCTCTCTCATTTTCTCTCTCGCTTTCTCTTTCATTCTCTCTCTTCTCTCTCAGTCTCTCTCTCCCTCTTGAGTCGTTTGACCTGTGTCCTCTAAAACTCAAACTCGGTCTCCAGTTCTTCAATCTTGGCTTTTTCCTCCCTCGTTCTCCCTCGTTTTCTCTCTCATTTTCGTTCTCTCTCTCGTTCTCTCACTCATTTTCATACTATCTCTCCTTCTCTCTTTCGTTCTCTCTCTCGTTCTCGCTCTCTCATTCTCTCTCGTTTTCTCTTTCGTTCTCTCTCTCATTGTGGTTCTCTCATTCTCTCGTTCTTTCTCTCCCTCCCTCCCTCCTTCCATCCCCCTCTCTCTTCTCTTACCTCGAATCATTTGACCTGTGTTTCTCTCAAACTCAAACTCGGTCTCCAGTTCTCGATACTTGGCCTCTCCTTCGCTCCCTCTCTCCGTTCTCTGTCCCTCCCTCCTCCCTCCTCCCTCCATCCCCCTCTTCCTCTCTCTTACCTCGAGTCGTTTGACCTGCGTCCTCTCGAACTCCAGCTTGGTCTCCAGTTCCCTGATCTTGGCCTCCTGTCGGCTCACCAGGGACTTCTCCACCATGGACTGCTCCTGGAAGTCCAGCTGACTCTGCAGCGCCTGCATCTGAACCACACGACACGACACGACACACTTTTACTCCACAGAACACAAACAAAACACACTCCACAGCATCGCATCACGAACCGGTGCAAAGAAAACAGAACAGTTCATTTATCAGAACTACAAATCCCATAATGCACTTGACACTCTGCATTTTCTCCCAAGTATTTGACCAAAAATCCTCTTTCTTCGGTACAGATATATTGTATAATCAGCTTTTGAGGTCAAAATAAGTCCACTGCGTCCTGTCTGCATCATTATCGATAATCAGGAGGTGAGTGTTAGCATGCTAGTTGCTGTTCTACACACTCTTTCGGTCTTTGGAGTCGTGAAAAGCTCTTACAAAAACTCACTGGCCACGTTTACATGATGTTTTTTGATTCCGAATTAATTGTTCTGAATTAAAGAGTTCGGAATTCAAATGTTCTTCGTCGAGTTTACACGGAAATAATAATTCCGGATTGAGGTTGACGTGGAAAACTCGTTAAATCGGCTTTATTTAATTCCGCTCAAGGGTTCTGTTTGGACAGAGACGCGAACGAATTTACGTCGACCGGAAGAAAACACAAACACTTCAGCTGCTGCCGGCTTTTCCGTCAGCTCGGTTTGTCGTTACGCCACGGACACAAACACGATCCTGACTTTTTTCCCGCGGCGGTTACGATGATAATTGCGAAGCAGCGGCTGGAGAATTGTCTCGTCGCGCTTTACGTCTGTCGGCTGAGGAGGAGAAGGGAAGAGCGTCGGAGAAGGAGGAAGAAGACAAAGTGAGTGTGAGGCTGCTCTACCTCAGCCCACTCCCACATCCACATCACAAATCCAAAGAGACGTGGAGGAAATTCGGAGACACGACTGGTGGAGCCGGATCGAAGGACGACACAACGAGCATGAACTGAACGAATGGGATTATTTTTAACAAGAATAAACGTTTACATGATCGAGGAATGAGTTAATTCGGCTTTAAAATCGGAATAAACCTCCCACTTTCTTCAAAATTAAACTTAATTCCGATCATTTTCTTTAGGAATTAAGTGTTTACATGGTCTTTTTAAAGCAGAATTAACTTTTATTCAGAATTAAAGCTCTCATGTAAACAGTGTTGGTGAGTAACAGATTACATGTACCAGCGTTACGTAATCAGAGTACAAATTATGAGTAACTATTTATGAGTATTCAGTTACAGTTACTGTTTCAGTGAGTGGTAATTGGATTACAGTTACTTTGTTGAAATAAATGGATTACACGGCGGTATTTTCCTGTTTTCACATTCTGGGCTACATCCCTTTTTTTTTTTAAAAATTATTATTTTGGTAATTCCACTCATTGCCGGAAACACAAACAGAACACGACAATACGAGTTGCGTAAACGTCTTGTTAACGTTGGCGGCGTCAGTCACACAATGGACAATAGGGGTGTGCAAAAATATCGGAATATCGATATATTGTATCGTTTAATGTGATGGTACAGTATCGATATCGTGGGCTGCTGTATCGATATATCACCAAGAGTATTTTTACGTGTGTTTTACTAAATTATTTTGTTACAGAGCTACAGTTTTGTTGCTTGTGGAGTGAAAGGAAACTCATTTATGCGACACATTTGACATTTTGACACTGTTTTGAGGATTAAAATGTTTGTGTTTCATATGAACTTTAAACAAGAAGTGGTTTAACAAAGACTTTTAGTATCACAGCCATGATTTAGCCTTTATTTTTTATTGAACTGTATCGAATCGATTAGAAATATATCATATCGAATCGAAAGTGCACTGTATCGAGGTATGTATCGTATCGGCAACTTCTTAATGATACTCAGCCCTAATGGACAAGGTCGTTAATAATCTGATTCTGCATCGTTTTGAGTAAAAAACATCCAATATTACTGATTTTTACTGTGCTGAAAGTGTTTTTTAATAATATGACACTAACAGTAGGTGGACATAATTTCAGGCAGCAGTGATCTCATATAAAAATAATTTCTCTATCAATAATATTTTTTAACATGTTTAAGGAAAGTCTGGGCTTTTTTATTTTCTTTTAACAGACAAAACTTCTTACGTTCAGATCCTCGTCTTTGCTTCTCTACAGTAAAACAAAAGTCTGTTCATGGAGACTTGGGCTCAACAGACAATTTGAAGAAAACAAACAAGAATTTTCAGGATGTGTTTGGTACATTCATGTAGTTTTAAAAAGCATGACAATATCAAGTAATCCAAAGTATTCAGATTACGTTACTCACTTTAAGTAATTTAATGGTTTACGTTACAAACTACATTTTGGTGTATGTAATCTGTAATCTGTAAGTGAATACATTTTAAAAGTAACCTTCCCGACACTGCATGTAAACGTGCCAATCATGGTGAATAATTTGGACGTTTTGAATGTATAAATGTAAGTGGGGAAGAACTTTGGACCATCGCAAACTGTTTAAAAACTAGTTCTGATTTCCAAGTTTTTAAGAAAATCTACAGAAATTTCGGTAACACTTTATAATAACTACACCTTATTTAGCCTTAATAAAGCATGAACAAGGACTTAATTAATAATGAACAAAGACTTAATTAATAATGATTCACGCTTAGTAAGTACTTAATTAGCACTTGCACTTAATCTGCCTGTGCTGTAAATAGTTACTCATAATTATTTCATACTTAATTACTCATGAACTAACCATTTGAGCATTTATTAATGATTAGTAAACTATGAGATAATGATTTACTAATAATACAATGCAATGATAATTCAGGCTGCTGTTATCTGTTAGTTAGCTTTTCTAAAGTGAAGACTAATTATCCTTTATTAAGCATTTACTAAGCGTGAATCATTATTAATTAAGTCTTTATTCATGCTTTATTAAGGCTAAATAAGGTGTAGTTATTATAAAGTGTTACCAAAATTTCTACCAACAAAAAATAATCAAGCTGAAACCAAGATTTTTCCATGTAATAAAGTAAAATAAGTGTTGCCTCAGTACATATTTGAGGTTTTTAGGGTCAAAATAAGTCCACTGTTTGGTCTGTAAATATAAAAGGTTTCATTGTCCCTGAACTATGAAGTGCGCTGTTAGCCTGCTAGTTGTTGTTAACATAATAGTGATCGCAAAAACAGCGGCAGTTTTCTTTTCCCTCCAAAGTGAACGGGCCATATGTGGGTGAGCCTGGTTTATGGAGCCGAAATAACAAGGAAATAAAAGTTTATCCGCGAGCATATGGACAACGAGGTCTGCACCGGGGGGATTTCTGTTAAAGGTTTTTAATTAGTCCCAAAGATAAGATTTTTAAAGAGCGAGTATTTTACTTCTACTGCGAACACATAACATATTTAGATCACCGTGTTACCGTTTATTGTTTGGAAAAATGTTTTATAAGTTGTTTTGTATCATGTTTTTGTATATTTACGGAGAACTGTCGTGTGGGAGCGTGGGCGATGTAGGTTTGTGGGCACAGAATCGTACTTCTAGCCATAAAGAGGGTTTGAATAGAGCTTAAGAGAGATCGCTAGATTACTCAAACATGCATGGGGGTCCGGTCAAGCAGTAACGAAGGGAAACAGGGGCAGATTTTTTACATTGAAATGTCTGTCTCCTGTGATATTCTTTCAAGTTGTTGACAAAAAATTAAAAACTTATGTCGGTAACGGAGGGAATGAAATATGCAGTACTTTTTGGGCAATAAATCCAAACAGTGATAACTCTTGGTTCTCACTTACATATCCTTAACAAACTGGTTTGAATATTTGCTTCATATAGTTTTCTACCATATGGTACAAGATTAGATTGAAAAACCTCTTACTTTTTGACTAATGAGATTTTTTATTAAGAAAGTTCATGGTAACGGAGGGAAAAGTAACAGAGGGAAAATTGTGCAAACAAGTAGAAGGTTTTAGTTGGATTTTAATATTACTTGAAAGGAAACTATTTCTATAAAATTTTTTCATTTTAAATACGTTTATTTTTTATTTTTTATATCATATACCTTCATCAACAGTTCAAAGATCAACTAACACAAGATATGATGAAATACATCCATTTATTTACATGATTTGCAGGTGTTTGAAATTTGGGAAATCATTTTTGTTCCATGTTTCATACATGGTCTGTTTAAAACATATGTAACTTTAGAACCAAAAATGGTACAGAAAAAAGGTGAACAGTTTCATAAACTAGAGTACATATGTATCTGTTCAATACATTTTTATATCAGATGCATTAACTTGAATTTTTGGCCTTGTTGTTTACTTCTGCTTGACCGGGCCCATATGTTGTATTATACCACTGTGAACTTAAAAACTTTCTTGAAGATGTGGACACCTGTGGTTTATATTCAGGTGCGGCCTATATACGTACAATTTTAAAATTTGGTAAACATTTAGTTGATGTGGCTTATATTCAGGTGCGCTCAACAGTCTGGAAATTACGGTAATTTGTGTGTCGTGCATCTGTTTTCTGTTCCCCACTTAAGTTTTGTAGCGTGACGTTCACATTACTCCTTTCGCGTTTGTTTAGCCTCGAATACTAATCACTTATGTTTAATTTATGACTGTTTAATACTGCTTTTACTGCTCTGTTTATTCATTTTTATTCATTCTAATCATTCCTGCTACTGCAAAACAAAAGTAACCGAAAGTTTTGAGCAGCAGAGACTCTAACGCTGCTTCTCCACGACGCCATGTTTCAGTGGACAGAGGTCTGAAAACGCTGCAGGTCAGAAAAAAAGAAAAAAAAAAAAAAAAAGTGAAGTGTATTTTGGCAAAACAAACTTGAGTTAACCTTTTGCCTGAGACTGACAGATCTGAAATTGAAATTTTTGGAAATGCCTTTAAGGAACCAGAGTGAGACAGGGAAGTTTCCAAAGTTAAAAAAAAAAGTCAAGGCTAACTTTTTTATTATTTGGGCAGAAATCACGATGAGTAAAAATCTGAAACAAGAGTCAGGCAAAATTGGAGAATCATTTTTTTAAAAATGGAAGAAGAAAATTCAAAAGGGACAAAAAAGTAATATTCCA